TGCAAGGGTATAGTGCCAATGGAGAGGATAAATGAGGGTCTATCAGAGGAAAGAATGAAAATGACATGCATAGTAACAACAGAAATGCATGCAAAGATATACACTTCGATAATGTCACAATATGATTTATCATTTAACCATAATCTACTATATCAATCAAAATCCAAGGAACTTAGGGATTTAAATAAGGTGCTTTTTGTTCTTTTTACTGCTGTTATTATCTCTATGTTAATAAATACTATTCTCTTGAAAAAGTATTAGAGAGGCTGCTTGCCTAGCATACATGAAGCCGTGGGTTCTATTCCTTAGTGCCACATAAACAGAAAAGGTTGAAAGTGACACTGTGGCTCAAGTGGTAGCTGAAAGTGGCCCTGTGGCTCAAGTGGTAGAGTGCTAGCCTAGGCCAGGGACAGTGCCCAGGCCCTGAGTTCAAGCCCCAGGACTGGCAAAAAAGAAAAAAGAAAAAGTATTAGAATGACCACCAACATCGTTTCTTAAGCAATTTTCCCCCTTTTTTAAATTAAGTAGTTGTACCAAGAAGTTTTAATTCCACAAATCAGATTATGAGTACAAAACATTTTGATCAATGTCACACCTTCCATCATTCTCCCCCATCTTTCTCCATCCCACCCCTACCCTCAAGTTCAATACTTATATATTGATTATAAGGACTACATTTATTCATTCTTCCTTCCTCCATTTCTGTGCCCTCCCTTCTCCTTACCCCACAAGTGATTTCTAAACCTAAAGTGTATGAGAAAATAAATGATGCAGCTGCTCCTGAGGCATTTCAATTTCTCTGGTTCTTTAACAAGGGTCGATGATCATTGATCAAAGTATCTTTCTAAATTATAAACTGGCAAAAAATAAAGCAATTTTTGATATTCATTAGATATTGTATTGAGATTAAATATAGCATGACAAAAGTTTTCTATTTGTGTATACTTTTAAGTAAGACAATTAACATAATGTCATGTGGGTTTGCCCGTGTAGAGAACTGATACATATTTTGGTATTTCTTTTGTCACTCATGAGGCTTAAACTCAGGGCCTGTGCACTGTCCCTGAGCTCTTTTGCTCAAGGTTAGCACTATACCACTCTGAGCTACAAGATCACTTCTGGTTTTCAGGTAGTTACTTGGAGATGTCTCAAGGACTTTCCTGTCCTGGCTGGGTTCAAACCACGATCCTCAGATCTCAGCCTTCTGAGTAGCTAGGATTACAGGTGTGAGCCACTAGCACCCAGAATTATTTTTAGTATTCTTAATGACTCATCTAGGGACCAAGGTATCTTGAATAACATATTGTTGACAATTACTACTGGTCATTGTATTAATGACTAAATGGTATTGTTGGTTGTTTCCTACTGCAATTGTTGATTGTTTCCTACCTGCTCTTATCAGCTATTTTATGACAGTTTCCAATAATGATTGCAGAAGTCAGTCAGGGGCCTCTTACTTAATAAAGGAAGACACTCTAGATTAAATCCTCATAGTGCAAATAATCACACCCAAAAAAAATTTATGCTATCAGATAAGAGACAGGGAATGTTTGTCTTTTGTTCCTTGGTCCTAACAGCAGAGCATAGTGCACTTTACACTTCACTAGAATGCCATTTAGACACAGACCACATTATTCCTTACAAAGAACTCCAAAATATGTTTGCAGAAAGGATGGCCTACACCAGAAGACATCATTTCTAATTTAAGATTCAAAAAAAGTTGAATGTTGGTGGCTCATGCCTGGAACCATAATCATGGTTCAAAGCCAATGCCAGGCAGATGAGTCTGTGAGACACATCTCCAACTAACTAGCTTTAAAAACCTAGAAGTAGGGGTGTGGCTCAAGCCATAGAACATCAGCCTTGAGTGAAGCAAGAGCATGAGGACCTGAGTTCAAGTCCCAGTACTGACACAAATTTTTTTAAATTTAAAAATGGTGGAATGAAACTACAAACTGTAAATACTGGTACTTACTAGGTATAAGTCCCAATAGGTCAGAAGTTGCACAACAGACAGACATACTCAGGCATTAATTAGGCCACATCAATAAAAATGATATACCAAGAGCTAAAAAGCATTTTTGTGAAAATTTTATTTAGTATGACTGTTTAGCTGTGAGATCCCTGGAAAACTGTTTACCAGTGAACTCAAACTATCTTCTTTGCAGTGACCCATGAAGGGCAAAAGGAAACATACACTGTTCTCAAAGGTTAACTAAAACCAATGGCTAATGGGGTATTTTAGTCTGGGCCTAGTACAGGATGGATCTATGACCCTAGGATTGTTAACAGACTGCTGGCAATAGTTGCTGGGTTCTCAAAGTATTACTGTTCAGCGATAACTGAAATCCACAATGGCTGAAACTAAGTATATCATGCAGAGTTCCTACAGGTGCCAGATGTGGCAAGAGAAACTAAGTGAGGCCATTCCAGCAAGACATGAAATTCCTATAACAGACTACTTTGGGCTATGTATGCTGAAAGGGAAGATAGCAGGGAGTAAACCTGCCATGAACTTCCCAGGTATCTCAGGCAACCAGGAACAGTTCATGGGTTAAAATAAGTTCAATACCATAAATACGACAACATCTACATAGTTCCTTATACCTAAGTCTCCCAGGGCAATGCAAGTGGCTCAGATAGGTAAGGGATATGCACTGCAGGTAGAAATCTGGGCTGAGAGTCCTGGGGGTTTGGGGACAATGAACAGTCACACCATGCTCAACTTGACTTACTTAGCTGCCTCTATGAGACTCTGAAGCAATCACTCAGTATTAGGATGATAACCCTTAGCTAGATGCCAGTTGCTCAAGGCTAGCTACTTAGGAGACTGAGATCTGATCATTACAGTTTGAAGCCAGTCTAAGCAAGACTCTATGAGACTCTTACCTCCAAATCACCACTAAAAAGCCAGAAGTAAAGCAGTGGCTCAAGTGTAGAATGCTAACCTCAAGGAAAAAAAATAAAGCAAAGTGCCCAGGCCCTGAGTTCAAGTCCCAAAACAGGCATTAAAAAAGTAATGAAGCAAATGAACATTCCTAGGCAATAAAAAAAATGAGACTCAACCTAAATCTCACACTTTATATAAAATTAATTCAAATTGTATCATGTACTTAAATATAAAGCATAAAATTATAAGCTGGTTGCCAGTGGTTCATGTCTATTATCATGGATACTCAGGTGGCTGAGAGCTGAAGAATACAGTTCAAAGCCATCCCAGTTAAGAAAGTCTGTGATACTTTGATCTCCTTAATAACTGCATGCACATATATGTGCACGCGCACATGCATGCATGTGCACACACACACACGCACGCGCGCGTGAGTGTGTGCACACGCACAATAATCCTTGCAGTCTAAGATATTCACCGAGAATGTGAAGGGTTACTCAGGGTCTAGGGTGCACGACCTCTCCTAAGAGTATTTTCTTTGCTGGAAAAGCCCCAGAACTATATCACACAGTCTATCTTTTCCTGCTTACCCTTCTTGTATTCCCTCCCTCATCTCTCCACGGGTTAGACCTGCATGTAGACTCCTGGCTCTGTCCTCACTTCCCTCATGGGTGTTTTCCCTAGCCAATCTCTTGTAAATCGAATTCCATTTTAACATTTGCTCTTCAGAGAAGACAAATTGGCACTAATAAAGCTGATGGTGGATAGTCAAGGAAAACAGGCCATGATGAGATGGAATTCTGGATATCCTTATAAGGGGAGTATAGGACATGAAGAGCCCCAGACACAGAGGTTCTTCCATCTTTAGTCCAACTGCTAAAAGATTTCCTTGGCAATAACCTGGGAGGAGAATGGTCTTCCAAGGTGTATTAATTCAGAAGTATGAAAATTCTACGTGCAAGAGGCCCACAAAGAGAAAGGAGATGGCTGGAATAACTTAGCCAACAAGGGTGTTGGCTCATTATCTCCTGGCTAAGAAACCATGTAATGGAAATCTGAGGGCGGCTCCCTCAATAAAAAACCCTAATTTCTTGTTCAACTCCTAGACTTTGGCCCATTTTCAGATCTGGAAGGAGGTGGCGCGATTTCTAGGAAGAAAGACAATAGTGATTATGTGATAGCATGCCCAGTACTTCCTTCAAAGCCACTTACTTGGATATATGAACACTGAGAAAAAGAATGCCCAGATATTCAAAGAATACTAGACTCGGGATTTAAGTTGACTGATGCCTAGGGAATAGTGGTCTCATCATGGTCCTCATTAGACTACAGGCTTATGAAGGCCAAGCAATAACACAAAGGCTGCCTCAATATGATTCAAATGGGCCTTCTGATCTGCCCCATGGTTATTTCCAAACTGCATGTGCAGACAGATTGTGGTCCAAGGCTAGGTTAGGCAAAAATGTAAGACCTTATCTAGGAAATGAACCCAAAAAAGGCAGGGAGCATGGCTCAACTAGTAGAGCACCTCTGAGCAAGTACCAGGCCCTGACTTCAAACTGCAGTACCACCAAAAAAAGTAGACTAAGCCCAAAAATAAGTCCAGTATGTGTTGCACACAAAAAGGAAGCTGACTAACCAAAAGGTACAAACAAGCCAAGTGGCCATCTATAAAAAAGAAAGTGATATACCCATACGATGAGATATTACACACTCATAAAAAGTAAAATTGACACATACTACAATATAAACGAACCTTGAAAGCACACTATGTGGAAGAAACCAGTTATAAAAAGCCACTATTAGACGGGTGCTGGTGACTCACACCTCTAATCCTAGCTACTCGGGAAGCTAAGCTCTGAGGATCAAGGTTCAAAGCCATCCTGGGCAGGAAACTCCTTGAAACTCTTATCTCCAGTAAACTACTTCAAAAAGCCAGAAGTGGTACTATGGCCTTGAGCAAAAGAAGCTCAAGGACAGCACTCAAGCCCAGAGTTCAAGCCCCAGGCCCTGCAGAAAAAAGAAAATTAAGCCACTATTAAATGGTTTCACAAGCACCCAAAATGGATAAACTCACAAAAATAGAAAGCACACTGGAAGGTTTCCAGTAACAAGGAGGAGAAATTAGTTTAATGGATATAGTTTCATCTTGGGAAGATATATTCTGGAACAGTCGATGGTTGTCCAAAACTGAGTATAACAAATACCACTGAACTGCTCAAGTGGATAATTTGGTGTTAAATGAAATTCTCAATACAAATAAGTGAATAAGTAAGCAGCAATGAAAAATGCAGAGGTACATGTAATCCCCTCAAAACTCAAAGCAAAATGAAAATAAAAAATGAGAAGACCTTTTAAAATTGTTTTCAAGGGGTTTGGGGAGGAAACTACCCAATTTTAATTATCCTGTCACAGCCCTATGAAGTTGTCTGAATCCACTGACTCACATGTACCTAACCTGTAGATCTGCCTATCAGTTAGAAAGTTCCTACAATACTAGGTTCTTGACATCTAGATTAGTATTCCAGAATTATCAACTATTTTCTATTTCCTGGCAACTTCATCCTAAATTGAGATCTATGGGTTTAAGGGCCATGTTTATAAACCAAAAATTTGGACACATACAATGCTAAATACCAGGCATATTCCCAGGGACAATAGACTATGCTAAAAAGTCTAGCAATATCTGGTTATTAAAATCCTAGTCTTCTCAATAATGCTACTATGCAATGATAAAAAATTCATTCCCACACATTTTACATATATCTATATGAATAATTTTTACTAGGAGAATAGAATCTGACCACTTTTTTTAAAACACAATTTTTCAAATCAACTGGGCAGCTGAAACAGGCTTCAGTAATGCCTGCGGTCACTTGGATTGGAGAGCTCCCATTCTCGGGAATGCTGGTCCTTATACCTATGGTGCTTATCTCGGCTCCTACTTCTACTTCTGTGACTCCGTCCTTCAGAATGTCCACTGCGCCGGCTAAAATGTGCATCTGAGCTTCGCCCTCTATCCCTATCCCTGTTCTTGTCGTCTCTTCCCTCTCTCCTGCTTGAGGACTTGTGCTCATGCTTGGACTTCTCCTTCTTTGGCTCCCTCTCTGGATCCTCTGTTCCACCACGGTAGGAAGTCCGGACCTCAGGAGTGTCTGAATGATGCTTCCGGCCTTCTCTGGACTCAGCCTTCTCACCTCTCTCTGAGCTCTTGCTGCTGTACTTCTTAGCTCCATGTGAATCCTTTACCTTTATTGTTTTGCTTCTGGGAGATGAAGATATTTGCTCTGCTTGAACCTCCCGTACAGTCTTCTCTTTGTCTTTCTTACTTTTCTGTTTTTCTTTTATGTCTGAAAACAATAAAGGGGACAATCAATAACAAAAAACAGAAATAACTCCCTTTTAAAAAGTTCTTTTCTTGCCAGGCACCAGTGGCTCATGCCATTCAGTAGCCCTAGCTACTGAGAAGGCTGAGATCTAAGGATCACAGTTCAAAGCCTGCCCATGTAAGAAAGTCTATGAGACTCGTATCTTTAATTAACCATTTAAAAAGTCAGAAATGGAGCTGTAGCTCAAGTGGTAGAGCACTAGCCTTGAGCTAAAAAGTTCAGAGACAGTGCCTAAGGCCTGAGTTCAAACCCCAGGACTGGCAGTCACAAAAGAGTTCTTTTCTCCTCTAAGTACATTACATCAAACCAAAGTATTACACTTTCAAAATGTTCAAACACTAGCAGATGGGGAATGTGCATAAGAAAAACTATCCGTGGCAGCAGCATACAGCAGTCACAGGAGATATCTCCAGGAAAATCCCTCCAAGAAGCCAACTTGAACATCTGTCTCGCCTGATATGTCAAGTTGTTATATAAGACAATTCCTTCCAGAATTATCTCTTTAAAGACTTTTTCTAAACACAATCACATAACAAGTGTTAATACTTCAAGGTATCTATTTGGGAGGATGGGAAAACACTTCTGACCAGCTAGTCTTTCTTAGATACTTCCTCTTTCCTTATCTTTGGAACTGAGTATTTCTGTGTGTGTGATCTTTCTTGTTTCATGAAATGTTTCTCCCTCACTCTCTTGCTTAGGTGCTCTTGTGATATATGTGATATACTTCACATTTCAAATCTATTTGTGTATAGTTGGTATATGGCAAAACAATGCTATGTTTGTAAACTGCTTTGATAAATGGCAATTCCTTTGCACAACTACTTAATGATAATAATAAAATAAAATAAAAATCCTTGACTGGAGGTGTGGCTCAGCAGTATTGTCCCAACATAGCAAACATGAGACCTTGAGTGTAAACTCCAATAACACCAAGATCTGGTTATCCAAATCCAGGAATAGAGAGAGCAGACACTAAGACTATTAAGAATCCTTTCTTGAATCTTAACACTTTACCTTTCTGAGTATTTTTTATGGAGTTGTCATCTTCAGAGTCATCAGACGAACTCGAGGAGGGGGTAGTAGCCCCACAGCCCTTCTCCTGGAGCTGTTTGGTGACATCATCCAGGTCATCTGAGCTTTTAGGAACCCGATAGTTTGCTACATGGTCCACACGGATAGTTCTTCCCTTGATCTAATAAGACAGATAATACTTCAGCCCTCATATCAAACTATTTGAACTCCAATTATGGAGAACCATGGCCCCTACTTCCTTGATTCTGTTTCTGGGAAAACCATTAAAAAAATCCAGAATCAGTTCTGCTCAACTGGTGGGTCATAGGACATGCATATAGATGTTAATAATAGCACTTGGGCACTCACATGTGACCTGGGGCAGCTAAAACAAAAGCCTCATTGGTTTTGTTTGATGTGAGGTGAGAAAAAAAAAAGACAAGGGTTGGGCATTGGTGGCTCATGCCTGTAATCCTAGCCACTCAGGAGGCTGAGATCAGAGGATCATGGTTCAAACAACACAGGCAAGAAAATCCATAAGAATCTTACCTCCAATCAATCACCAAAAAAACTAGAAGCATAGTTGTGGCTCAAAGTGGTAGAGTGATTTCCTTGAGCACAAAAAATTTAGGAACAGCACCCAGGTACTGAATTAAAGTCTCATGACCAAAAAACAAAAAACAAAAAAAAGGCAAGGAAATGCTTCCCCAAAGCACAAGCATTAAGTAAGTCTATTAGAATTTAAGAAACAATTATCCATAATTATCCAGAAGCATGCTTTGAGAAAGCCAAATGGAATTTCAGAAATCTAACAATACTATACAGGTACTTTCTTTACAAAGTAATAAGGAGTATACAAAGTCACACCAAATAGTTCGAATTTTTTTTGCTGGTCCTAGAGCTTGAACTCAGGGCCTAGGCACTGTCCTTGAGCTTCTTTTTGTGCAAGGCTAGTGCTCTACCACTGAAGACACAGCATCACTTCCAGCTTTTCTGGTGATTAATTGGAAATAAGAGTTTCATGGACCTTCTTGCCTGGGTTGGCTCCAAACCATGTTCCTCAGATCTCAACCTCCTGAGTAGCTTCGATTTACAGGCATAAGCCACTGGTGCATGGATTTGGAAAATAATTTTTAAATGTATCATTTTCTTTCTCCTTTAGCCCTCACCTAATACTACCACTACCATACTGGATCATTCGCTCATATTGCTCACCCTGTGAACCACTACTCTCCAGGTAAACAACAATAAAATGAACTTTTGACTTAAAACCAATCTATTTTCAAGTAGAAAAAGACATTACTTTACCATCCAAACATCTGAAATATAAGATGTGTTTTTATTGTTCCATTATAAGAGCAGACATATTCTTCCCTTTAAGCCTGAGAAGCTTTTGTCACCCATCCTCTTCCTCATTTTCAAACTGTTTTTCCAAACTTCCCTCCTATGACTGCTGACTCCCTTAAAAATTTCAGAATGACTTACTTTTGTACGATTGTTCATTAGACTTTAACTAGAGAATTTCCAAGGCCAAATTCTAGGTCTCTGGAGTCATATTTCAGACAACATGGTTATGTCCTAGGCCAACAAGACCTGAATAAGAAGCCCAAGTTCTAGGATACTATGCTAAAATAAGTGGTGGCTAATCTTGTTTTGTACTGCACTAGAGATAAGGGGTAACTGCTGAGAATGAAAGGTGGTAGAGAACTGGATGGTAGAGACAGATAGGGAAAAGCATCACGTTCTGCAGAATTACTTCCTTTCCAATATATCTTGGCACCTCTGCAGCCCTAACAATACACTGAACTGACCTGTGGGTATGAGACAAAAAAAGCATAAGTCCAGTCAACTCCTGGTTAATTGCAGAGAAAGGCCCAGGCCCTGAGTTCAAGCCCAATGACTGACAAAAAAAATTTAACAGTCTTTAAAAAAATGAAAATCCTGTAATGGGGATAATCTGAACTGGTTCAGTCTGTCACAGCTCCTGTGGAGTTAGTGCAGTCACCACATATAAATGGGATCCTGTTCAGTGGATCAGAATCAAAATGGTGCATTGGTCCATGTGAGCCATTGAGTGCTCTCTATCATACAGGACTCCCAGACTGCAAGGGCACAGCAGACCTTCTTATTGTGAATAATAACAAGGACATATTTTTCTTCCGTTGTGTTTTATTTGCATTTAGTGTGAGAAGATAAAATGGCTTAGTAAAAGTAATAAAATCAGTGCAATCACTAACTTTATATATATATTTACTTTGCAGTGTAGATACATGTCACTAATGAGTTTTTTTTCAGAGGGTACTTCTCTTTCATGAAAAGGAAAATTATAACTTACTCTTTTCTTCCTACCTAGCTCTCTATAACCAATGACTGTTTAACGATTGTTCTTTATAGAATCTAAATATGACTTGTTACTGAATCCTGTTTTCAGTATGTATATAAATGTGATAGTTTTACCTATTTTTTCACACATGAGTATGAATAAAATAGTATTTCTAAAAATAAAAAAATGAAAATCCTGGTTAATAAGTACACATACCTTGATCCCATTAAAATTGTCAACGGCCAGAATTGTACTCCTCTGGTCTTCATAACACAAGAAACAAAATCCTTTTGATTTTCCAGTCTTCTTATCTCGAACAAGATTAATATTAACAACCTCCCCATACCTGTTTATTTTACAAGAGTAAGAAATTATTAATTTAAAATGCAACAACTTTCAGACTGAATAACAGAATTAAAATAAAGTCTATATAGAAGACACATCTACAACAGATGTCACAGAACAGCTGAAAATAAGACAAACAATGATATACCAAGAATATCCAACTAAAAATGTGTAACAGGTTCATGCCTGTAATCCTAGCTATTCAGGAGGCTGAGATCTGAGGATCACAGTTCAAAGCCAGCCCTGACAGGAAAGTTCATGAGACTTTTATCTTCAATAAACCACTAGAAAACTGAAGTAGTACTGTGGCTCCAGTGGTAGAGCGCTTGCCTTGAGCTGAAGGCACAGGGACAGCGCCCAAGCCCAGATTTCAAGCCCCACAACTGACAAAAAAAAAAAAACTATTTAGAGGGCTGGGAATGTGGCTTAGTAGAGTGCTTACTTAGCATGCATGAGCCCTGGGTTCAATTTCTCAGTAGCACATAAACAGAAAAAGGTCAAAGTGGCACTCTGGCTTAAGTGGTAGAGGACTAGCCTTGAGCAAAAGAAGCTCAGGTACAGTGCCGAGGCCTTGAGTTCAAGCCCCAGGACTGGCAAAAAAAGAGGATAAATACAAACCAGGTACCCATGACTCATGCCTTTAATCATAGCTACTCAGGAAGGTAACATCTAAGAATCACAGTTGGTAGCAAGGAAGACACATATAAGAGATTCTTATCTACAGTTAACCCAGGAAAAAGCCAGAAATGGAACTGTGGGTTAAGTGGCACAGCACCAGGGGTGAAGGGAAAGAGTGAGATCCTGAATTCAAGCCTCAGTTCATGCTTGTAATCCTATGTAATTGAGAAGCCAAGATTAGGCAGATCACCCTTGGAGACTAGTCCAGGCAAAAAGTTCAAGAGACCCCATCTTAACCTTAAAAGCTGGGCATAGTGGAACCAGACTATCATCCTAGCTATGCTGGAGGCAGAGTCAGGAGGATCAAGGTCCAGGGTAGCCTGAGCAAAATTATGACACCTTGAGCAAAAATTATCTAAAGCAAAAAAGGACTGGGAGAACAGCTCAAATAGTAGAGCACCTGCCTAGCAAATATTAAGTCCCTGAGTTTAAACTCTAGTTCTGTTTTAAAAGATTAGACATACAAAAAGAATAAAAAGCTATACGAGATTTAAACATCTTTGTAAGTTTTTAACACACAAAAGTTGATAGAACTAAAATCAGAGGAATATGAAACATGTAATATAAACACAAACATAATTACCTAACAGTAATTCTATTAACTATTATCAAAACTAGTAGATATATAAATACCATTGAATCCTGAAAGGAGATGGTAGCTTCTTTTCAAGAATTCATGAGATGTATATTAAAATTAACTATAGAAGTCTCAAAATAAACTAAAATTAACTCCAAAAGAAGTCTCAAAATAAACTAAAATTAACTCCATACATCAGACTACTCTAGTCTATATTTTCCAATAACAAAGTTATAAAGCTGGAAATAATTTTAATAGTTTGAACAAAATTATGCTACTAACTAGAACTTGAAATCTACTCTCCCAGAAAATGATTAAATGAAAGTAAAAAACAAAAAAAAATAAAGAAAAAACTGGTAGCAGATGTCAGGCACCAGTGGTTGATGCCTGTAATCCTAGCTACACTGGTGGTTGAAATCTGAGGATCATGGTTCAAAGCCAACCTGGGCAGAAAAGTCCCCATGAGACAAGTTAACCACTCTTGGAGGTGTGGCTCAAAGTAGTAGAATGCTAGTCTTGAACAAAAGAGCTCAGGGACATTGCCAAGGCCAATAAAAACAAAACAAAACCATACAAAAAAGAGTAGACTGATGAGAAAAGAACAAAATGGAGATAGATACATAGAAAAATTTGTTGAAGGTGGCTAATGTCATACTCAGGCAAGTTTTATTTTATTTTTTTTTGGGGGGGTCCGGTTCTGGGGCCTGTACTCTGGGCCTGGGCGCTGTCCCTCAGCTCTTCAGCTCAAGGCTAGCACTCTACCACTTGAGTCACAGCACTACTTCCGGGTTTTTTCTTTTTGCTTATGTGCTGCTGAGGAATCGAACCCAGGGCCTCAGGCATACAAGGCAAGCACTCCACCACTGAGCCACCTTCCCAGACCCATCAGGCAAGTTTAGACTTAAAGAATTTTATTGTTGCCAGGCATCTGTGGCTCACACTTGTAATCCTAGCTACTCAGGAAGCTGAGATCTCAGGATTGTAGTTCAAAGCTAGCTTTAGCAAGGAAGTCTGTAAGACTCTATCTCCAATAAAATACAAAAAGAGCCAGATGTGGAACTGTGGCTCAAGTGACAGAGTACTAGCCTTGAGCACAAAAGCTAAGAGACAGCATCCAGGCTGAAAGTTCAAGCCCCAGGACCAGGGAGGGAGGGAGGGAGGGAGGGAAGGAGGGAAGGAAGGAAGGAAGGAAGGAAGGAAGGAAGGAAGGAA